AGGAGACTTAGTGATAATGATATCTTATGATTTTTTGCATAAATCTTATGCAGGTGCACAAGTAAAACTATAAGCGAGGGCAATTATGTTTTTTTTCTTCTATTAATTTGTTTCATTGCCTTGAAAAGGCAACTGGTGACACTAATTCTTCCTGTTATCGTAAAATCATCCACTGATAAAAGTAGATTTCAAATGAAATGATATAGAAAAACTTTGAAATAAAACTGATATTACCTACGTCGGGAATAAACCAGGAGCTTTTGCTGCTTGGTGAAGGAGATTTGAATAAATGAAAAGATGGTGCAGTAGGTGCAAATAATAATCGGTGCCATTTCGATTACATGGACGGCAGCCGCAACAGCACACTAATCCGCTGAAACCTTAAATAAGCTGGTCCTTGTGACCACTCCATTTTATTGAATAATTGACAATAAATTTAGAAATATTAAGCATTAACTGCATGGAGCCAAACCAATGTCAAACAAACAGCCGGCTAAAATACAAAGTATATATAAAGTACAATACAGAAAAAACCCTCATTTTGAAAGAGTCGCACTGGCAATGAGTTGAATGAATGAACCGTGCCAAATTTTATCTACTATGTAGTGTAGTTTTCCAACAGTTTTGCAAACACAGGTGGAGTCACTTGCCGCATTCGTCATTTCTACTTCCTCAATAATCCAATATGATTTATAAATGCTGCACTGAATTCCCTCATTTTCGTTTCACAGGGAAAAAAGGAAAAATCCAAAAATTTGCCAAATTAACCAATATTTGAGTAACTCTGAGTCATTGCATATTTTGCTAGACCCTGAATCCTTGATTCACGTAAGTATTCACCTGTCAATTTAGCAATTACATCACCTGCCCGAACAGACGATAAAGATAAATTTAACCGAAACGGGATGTACCAACTATTGAACATGCTTATTTTCAACTGCGTTTATATTTTCCTCTCCTCTCACTGCTTTGGTGGACTCATTCACTTCGGTAGGTCCTTTTTACCAGCTTAATGGTGTAACATTTCAACAAATAAAACGTTTTCCTGTTTATGATCTCTTGCTGTAGGTATTACAAATATAACTCATCTCAACTTCACCGATTTCATTCAAACATCAGAACACTGTGGAATCGTTTTAGAATATGGGGGTCGTATTGGTCGTAAATTTTTCGCGGAAAAGTCCCGGAATCTCGATAAATTAAGTTCATCGCTGTGTTTGACGATTCAGTCGTCTTCCGTGAGTGAAACATGTGATATGTGTATAGCCTTGACTTTGAGTTTCTATGCAACATACACTAAAGTGCTCTGTGATATCGATCGATATTCCATTTAAACCGATGAAAAAGAATTGACCACAGACGCAACATGGGTTGCTTCTATAATTAATGTTTTTCCATAACTTACGACGGACGTTTAGTTGCAAAATATGCGACGGGCGACGCCATTGACGCGAAAAATTATAAAAATCTCTTCACCTGTGCTTATGGTCCTGGTTATTTTTTGCCTACAAACTGGTCCAGAAAATGGTCTAAAATGTCTAATCAAACCGGAGCTTTGCCAATTTTAAGCGTGTTGTCGGAAAAATACAGTTTTGACAAAAAAAAAACCATTCAAGGTTTTGATCGGTCATTTTTCGGAGCTACAATTCATCGGGTTAATCGATGGTTTTCATCAAAGAATTATCAGAAACAACTACAGTACTCACTATTCTGAGCTGGAATGATTTTGCTTGGGTTTCTGAATGATACAACTATTCGGCCTCTGAAGTCACGCTAGGAAGTATCTTTTCTCAATGAAGGCGTTTTTAATACGTCGTCACTCATCATCATCATCATCCCAATACAGTCGCGATCTAAGTTGCTGTATTGTTGATTGGTTTTTTTGAATGATACAACTATTCAACCTCTGAAGTCACGCTAGGAGGTATCTTTTCTCAATGAAGGCGTTTCTTATGCGTCGTGACTCTTCATCGAATTCATCTCGAGCAGTCACGTTAACACACTAATTTAAGCTGCTACTTTGTCACCTAGTTTTTTGCATGATATAACAGACTTTTCGACCTCTGAAGTCACGCTAGGAGGTATCATTTCTCAATGAAGTCGCTTCTTGAAGAGCGCCAACAACTGCGTCCTCTTTTCGACGAGAGACTCAAGACGCCGCGCCACCAGCAAGAGGCGTCGTTACCTTCATTTGTAACTAAGCGCCACAGGATGATTTTCTATCTAAATAAGCTCCTGTTGCTCCAATTTTTAATTATTTTTTATTTTTATTTTTATTTTTTTTTTTTTGTCCTTTGTTCTGGACAGTTTCCGTACAACATTGTCAAAGAATTTTCTTGAAAAGGATAATGAAAATCACACACAATTTTATGTACTTATACTTTAATTTAGAAATCCTTGAAAAATTAAAAGTGACAGGCAGTCTGCGACGTGGAAAACCGAGATATGTAGTTTGGTAGTTTCACCGTCTACTCAGTCAAATGATTATAATATACTTGCCTGTTTACAGAAAATGTAAAGGTTTTTGTGACATAACTTAATGATGTTTTTCTCATCTCTAACATTTTATTTTGAAAACTGTTTCAGCAAAAACGGCTCGCAACTGCCCCCGCGACCTCCCAATTTGCAAAATTATTTCGGGGATGATGGTCCGTCAAAATGAGGCGCCCTTCTGCGCTCCTTACATAATATTCCTAGTTTTCATACATTTGTTGGTCAATCTCCAGCTTTAACAATGCCGGATCGTAAATTTCGAAAAATGACGAGTATGGTTGTACGAAACTTTCAGTGCGCGCACACTAATTCACGAGGGGCGAAGCCTACATGTGTCGCGTTGGTGCATAATAGAGCCCCAACACGCCTACTATTTGCATGCTGCACTAACAAGATTGATTTCTGTTGTGTCACGTTGGCGTGTGACAACCAGACAACCGGCCTCGAGTATTCTTTAAGTGGCAAAATCTCCTCTGGTAGTTGCTTCCTCCGGTAATTCCGTGTACTTCGCCCGCGTTTGATGCGTCGGCGGTTTAGCAACCGTTTCTTATTCTTCCTCTCTTTCTTTTAAGTAGCCAATCCGATTACATCAAATCCTAGTCACGCATGACAAACAAAGATAGGAAATTGCTTCATGCAACTGGGTAGAGCTTCTATACGGCACATGATAACACAATGAGCAAATTCAACATAGTGATTGTTATCTTATACGGGGCATTTAACTTCGGAAAGTGTATTTGGCCATGACGTTAAGATGAGAAAAATCACAAATGTATAGGAAGTTGCGCGATATTTCTAAAAAGAAAAATTAAGCTTTTATTCATTTTTGGTACAACCTGACCCAGAAAAATAGTTTTAGTTCTAGTACTACACTCTCCATGGAAATATTTGAGTTTTAAGTTCATTTGATTCGTAGCTTCCATTTGTACTTTTACGACTTAACTTGCGTATTTTTGCAAAATCAAGACAAACGACAAACTCAATAATTAACCTTTTCATCTGTTCAATTAACATGCCATGCATTATGCATTAAGCTACTTATAAAATATTGAAGAGCTAAAACCACCCCTTAAAATACTTGTCGACGTTATCGACGTTATTTATTGTTGTTAAAACTTTTCCTAAGACGAACAGCTTTTGAAGGAGGACATTCAATTAGCTCGTGAAGATGTCTTTGAGTTTTCAAGTTAGACTTTATGTCATATGTGATTACATAGGGATTCTCTGCTGAAATGTTTTTGTCTGAGAGCTCGGGCAGGAAATTCAGCAGTTTTTCTAACATGTTTAGTTTTAATTTTTTAAGAATTATTATTGATTTTTCGCCCGAAGTCTCTCAAGTTCTCTTCAAGTTCATTCCTGCATTTTAAAGCACACCCCTCCGTCTCTTGCAACTCAGATCTAAGTGCTGGTGAGTCTGTTTCCATAGATAACATTCTCCAAAATTATGGAATGATTTTTCTCAGTTCTCCTCAAAATTTTGATTTGCAAGCAGTATCGGCAGCGACTGATGTGGGGCGGAATGCCGCCGCGTCCAGTAAGAACAACATAACTCCAGTAGACGCTCAGGGCGAATCTGCTGTTTTTACTTAGCATATCAGAACGACCACCCAGTGATGTGGCGTGATATGCGATTTATCGATTGTTATGCCATTACAATCTATGATGAAGAATCGATTATTAAGGTGTTCGCTGCGAACACCCTGTTCATCGATCCTTTTCCATAGGTTTAAATGGCATAACAATCGATACATCGAAAAGCACGCCACGCCACTGCGACCACACTGATAAACCCTAGTAGATAAGGGGTAGTGGTCATCACGAATGCCGAACTTTGCGTAATTCGATCGGCGCATCAGTGTTTGAGAGGTTTCCTTTGTCGGAATGCGAAGGTCAAGACGGGGACGTTGGGTGCAATTAAAAGGGATAGGGAGTGACCTGGAGCCCGGAGCCGGCGAGCGACTGGTCGACTGGATGCAGCACGCAGGGAGCAGGGTGTAGGCAGTACGGCAACAGCATGCATAGAGGGGGATTTTTAAATTGCAACCTGCACAGGTCAGCCGAGGAATAGGAGAACACAGGTGGATTACAGAGTGAAAACGACAGGAATTCGAGTTGTTATAAGGTGTGATACGGCCAGAAGAAGTGGAACTGGGGAGGGAGAAAGGGGGCGGGGGGCGGAGAGGGTGGAGGCGGCGCACAGTGGATCGAGTCAATCGGAGAGGTAGGACATGGAATTTTTGACTAAAACTGCAAATTTTGATGTTTATTTCGTCACATTTTAAATTTCAAGGGGTGTTCCTAAGAGAAAATTTCGCGAGAAAACCAACGGAACCACTTTTAGAACCTCAAAATTTTGGATAAACGGAGTTATAAGCGTTTGAAGTTTCCAAATTTTGTCCGACCTTTCCTATTGACCCGATCCACAGTGCGGCGCGGAGCGGGCGCGGGCACGGCGCGGCGGGAGAGATGGTTAGCCGGAGACAGTCGGCATAGAGGGGAGAGTTGGTCGGAGCGCTGGCTCTCTGAGGAAGGTCTCAATGCCGCGGCCAGTTCTTGGAGTGGTTTTCACCTGCTAGGACTACGCAAGTTCGCGGTCCGCGTTATCCTCACCTGTGCCTGTTTCCTGTTCTTCCCCGAATTCCCCGAATATCGTCATGGATTTCGCTCAGCCAGCGTGAACCCGTCGCTCGTCCACGTCTCTGGCTCCGCTGTATTCGTACTCTGTTCGATTCCCGATCGTTTTTAAGTGTTTAGTGTGACTTGAAGTGAACGTGGCACTGCGGATTAAGTGTGTTTAGTTGGTGTTCGCGTGCGTGTTTCGGAATTCTAGTGTTGTGTGTACTTCTTACCTCACTTTCCTCCGCGCTGGAATATGGTTTCAATTTGTTTCAAGTGAGAACGTGAAATATAAAGCCGTAGCTATGAAACTCTACAGAATGCAAGGTCACCGCGGGCAGCCGGACTCCACTCCTATCTGTCGGTGTCGAGTCCTGTATTTAGGATCGGCGGTCCCCCACGAGACGAAGGACGGTCTCCAGGGGATACAAGGGCCCCTGAAAGAGCTGTACCCTGAGCAAGGAGCCATCGGCGCCCGGGGCATAGATTCGTGGCTCAGTGTCTGGAGCAACGGATTGCTCTTGGAGAATGTCGACGAAAATCACCGCAAGGTGACTAGATTCTTCCAAATCGAAACGCTGCACTACTGTGCGGCGGTTAGGTATGTTTTGGTGCCAGAGAAGAACTCCGTTTCTTCATCGTCCCAACCCAGATTCTTACCTTTAGATTCGCCTTTTGCACGATCCCCTAACCTCAATCATCCTCCGCTGTTCGCGGCGATCCTGAGGAGAACAACCGGTATCAAAGTTTTAGAGTGCCACACATTCATCTGCAAAAGAGAGATGGCAGCCAATGCCCTCGTGAGATGCTGTTTCCACGCGTACGCGGATTCCTCTTACATCCGGCAAATCGACGGCAATACCAATAGTGTTTACGGAACCCTCCAGCGTCAGGCAGCGTCCAACGGTAACGGAAATGGAGTCGCTGATAAGGTCGACGGCTGGCAAAGAATGGCATCGCCGCCGAACAACACAGGCAGCACCTTGACCCTAAACAGCACCCTGCAGAACGCAGGCAACACGAACGGGACGATGGATCTAAGTCATGAGGAGAACTCAGCCGACGAGATTTCGATTTACAACGGGGATGAGAACCACAAAGTCTGGGCCGGCAGCACGCGAGACGGCTCGGCCGACCGGGAGGGGATCTACGGGGAGTACGGCGGGAGCACGATGAGGTCTTCAAGGTCAAGTCGACCCCGGCAAATTGAAAATGCCCCGGTGCCACCGCCTCCGCCGATCAAAGAGGACAAGAACAAGAAGACGAAGGATCGGTCGCGGAGGAAGAAGATGACGGGCGGCAGCCGGGAGGAGATGCACCTCATGAACGGGTCCCTGGCCCGGCCGGGCACCTCGCACGGGCACGGGCCCGGGGTTAACGGAATGCGATCGTCGAGCTCCGTCGGTGGCACTCTGATGCGGCACCCGCTGCCCCCCAACATTTACTCGAACGGCACCATGCTGCGGCCGGCCTCGTCGCAATTAAACGGGTTCCACCCGGCGACTCCTCAACCAATTATGTTCGTGCCAACGTCGACTTTACCACACTCCAAGAAGATCATGGCCAATACGTTCTCGCACCGGCCGACCAAGAACGGCCCGGTCATGATGCAACGCCCCCATCTGCCCCCCAACTTCATCCCCATGCCCCCACACCCCATCTACGTCCCGGCCGCGCCCGGACGAAAAATGTCCAAACACCACCCGGTCCCCCCGCCGCTCACGATGGAGGAGCCCATCTACATGCCGTCGACCAGACCCATGAGCCCTGTCGCCTCCTACCAGCCCGGGCATTTCCCGCTGGAGGCCTACCTCATGCAGCACTACGCCACCATGGACGTCAAAGCCAACAAGAAGAAGTCGAAAGAGTCCAAGAACAAGAAGGGAGTCCCTCTTGTGCCTCTGCCCGTGCCAATGAATGGGATGCCTCACCCTCCTCACCCCCCTCCGCCACCGATGAGGGCCGACGAGGAGGAAGACATGGACGAGGAGTCCCCCTACGATACCGGCATTTACCGACGCAAAGGGCATCTCAACGAGAGGGCCTTCTCGTATAGTATCCGACAGGAGCACCGATCCAGGTCTTACGGGTCCTTGGCTAACCTCAAGTTCGCGGCCACGCCGATCGTACCAGACGGAGCCATCAGCGCCGACTCGACGGACGCTAATGTAAATAAAACGGATATCAAAAAGGAACGGGAGATCATGCAGATGATGCATGATTTGGAGCTGTCCGGTGACGAGCTGGAGAGATCCGAAGTGCCGGCTAGTATGTATCAACCAAATAGACAAAGAGCTGGAAAAATCCGAAGATAAACTTCTATAAATCAGGTTAGTTCCTCTTCGATCTATGTTGAACTTTCAAAGTTGCGCTAGTTCGTAGCGTCGCGTCGTTGCATTTCTGCACGCATGTTCAGGCCGAAGGAAGCAGTAGGATGGGCGGGGATCGGAATAACTCAGGAGTGCAGATTTTTCTAAGCCTCCGAAATTTTCTGCAATATGCTGGGTTTTCGAAAAAGGGTCAACACAACGCGTGGATTGATGTTAAGAACAGTTTTGGATTATTTTTGGATGGGTGTAAAGGTCGTTTTATTCCCCAAGAGTTGAAAATCTGAAGACCTTTGGGGATAGAAACAGAAAAAAATAAACAACAAATTAGCCTACACACTTTGGGCAAGACAACGTGACCGCACGGAGGTGCCGGTGCCCAAATTGCACTCCTGAAATAACCTGCACCTTGCCTTTTTTTTCACTTTAAATACGTACACTGGAAAAAAAACACATTGGATCTAGAGTCCAGACTCTTAAAAACATCGACAAGAAAAAATACTCTTGATTTAATCAGATTTAAGCTTAAATCAAGAACCAAGCCTCACAATTTGAGCGGATTTCCTTCTGATTTAAGCTTAAATCTGATTGAATCAAGAGTCTTTTTTCTTGTCAATGTTTTCAAGAGTCTGGACTCTAGATACAATGTGTTTTTTTTTTCCAGTATAGTGCGTTAAAAGTTTCCGCACATTATGATGCGTGACGTTCTAACTAAAAGCTCCTTTTTAAGCATGACGTTACAGAAAAAGTTGAAACGTTTATTGCGCTATTGCCTCGAGGTATTCTTACAGCGTTGGCTTCAATATTATTACTCAGCAAGATCCCATTAGTAATGCGTTGATTGTTGATTCCATGTGCCATAGAACTATTTTTGATGATCACAGATGGGAGAGCAATATAAAATACAAGATCCGTCCGAAAACGAAATTTCAATAGTGGTATCGTAATTTCACCATAAAAAAAGAATAAATAGCTACAGTAAGCAAAATATTGAACATTTTTGCTTTAATACAGGTTTCACTTCACACATTTGCCAAAAATCGGATCTAACATGCCAGGAGGAGCACCTCGGCCGTTCATTCCCAATACGATACTTTTCGTGGAACGTAAATGAAAGTTGAGAGGACCTATACGCTAAATTTACCAGTTTGATTCGACTTACTGAAGGAATATTTCGCGTTCGGATACTTTTAGTTTTATTTTAGGGTTTAAAACTTAGATTTTTCGGGAAGAAACATCTGGAATTGTCGCCCCTCTGACTAGAGACCGCATCTCAATTTCCGCGTTAGCCCTGATCAACATATAAATCCACGCTCTCCAAGGCTCATGCAGAAATCGAAATACGCCCTCACGCTAGAGGAGCGACGAATTGTGTCTTCGTGCTTGATGTATCCGCGTTTCTTGCCGAAAATTTAAAGTTAACTGTGCTAATTATCAAAATTTTTTAAAGATTCGAAGTTTGTTTACTTGTACATCCGATGTAGGTAGATTCATATTAAAAGAATCGAGATGGTACTTCATCTGTAAAAGATCGACCTATCCTGATGTTATGTACCGTGATTAGGAAACACGCCTATGAACATTCGAGAGTTGCAAAATTTCCTTCAATTAAATGTTTATTTTTGAGGAAAGTTATGAATATTTTTCCTTAAAATTTTCAGGAGCTTTAAGTGCAATTGCGAACGACATTACTTGAAAAATTGGAAGAAAAAATATTCGTACGTTTACCAGGAGATTCGTGTTTCATGAATTAAAATTTGGCAACGCCTGAAGGTTCATACGGCGTTTTTCCTTAGCACACTGGAAAAAAGACACATTGGATCTAGACTAGTCCAGACTCTTGAAAACATTGACAAGAAAAACTACTCTTGATTCAATCAGATTTGTGCTTAAATCAAAAGGAAATCCTCTCAAATTAAGAGGCTTGGTTCTTGATTTAAGCTAGATTCTGATTGAATCGAGAGTACTCTTTCTTGTCAATGTTTTTAAGAGTCTGGACTCTAGATCCTATGTGTTTTTTTTTTTTTTTTTTTTTTTTTTTTTTTTTTTTTTTTTTTCCAGTGAGGTCTTTTTATCAATGCAAATTTCATTGAAAACAGTACGAATTCTCCGAGTGAATTCTGGCTAATGGCGGAGCTGCCATTTTATGAGATGTTTCTCGAGGAACCGGCTCAATTATCGTCAGTCATACAGACGACCACTAATTGCCGGGGAAATTGATGGCTGACTGCGCTATCGGTTTCACTTCCTTCTCCTCGTCACCTTTTGTATGTTGAGTTGTGACGTAACTTTCCCCCAAACGACTCATTTCCACGAAGCACTCGGAAGCGGCGGGTTCAACTGTCCGTGCTCCTGTTCCACCCGATGGAATCCAGACCAGACCCGCGACCGGTCGCCGGGATTTTCGTTCGCGAAATTTCCCCCGTTCAATCGGTGCCCCATCCCGTCTCGCACAGGCGGCGGCATAACCTGTAAAGGTGAAAGTGCAATTCGAATTAGCGTAAAATCGAAGGAGCCACCGAGTGTCTACACTAATGCCAATGCGGGGTATGACACTCTACCGTAGAGAGGAAGACGGGTTCCCGAACATCGAATTTTGGCAATTTTGTTCGATGATGGAGAATTTCCTGGAAATTTAACATTTTTCTTCAAGTTTTGACAGAATTAAATAAGTAGTTTAAAGTATCAAATACGAATGATATTTAGATTCTGCTGCCGCATCGTTAATTCGTCAATTTGGCAAGGATGCAGATATTAAGTACTAGAAACACGGCACGTGGTCGTTGTTTATGCAGATGAATTTTCGGAAAAAGGCCGTAATGTGGCCTCAAACTGATTAGTGAAAAAATGCTGATTGCAGCTAAGTATGCTTTTATTTTTCCGAGAACTTTCAGCGATCTTCGACGGAAAGATTTGATTTTCGCTTGTTGAGAGTATTCATCACGGTTCACAGCCTTTATTTTGACCCGGCATCCACTAGACTACACGTTATTTAAACGGAGAAATAGTTATTTAACCAGAATGAAACAGTCTTTTTCTCTGAAAACTTTTTATTGAAGTATTCGAAATTACAATTAACTCGGTTAGAAAAGCTAGATAGAAATTCCTTGTCTCTCTCTTAAACTATGAAGCGCACTGTATTGCCCCTCGTATTTATAAACATGAACTCCGTTCTTAAGTTGAAAGCAAGTTGACATTTTCAGTGAAAAATTGTGGTTCAGAGACACAAAAGATGATTCCTATCTTCCCTTGATTCTTTCTGTGGAGACTTCATGTCCTCATCTCGGGATGTTATCAAGCTACCTGTGTGTATATGTAAGTACCTCACTTACACGGATGTATTTCAATAGAATCGAATTCTTTTAAGACCTCAAAATTATCAATGATCCTGTGAATTCTTCGGCCTCATTTAAAATCTCAACAAGGCATGAAACTCCACAGAAAAACGATCTGACAATACCGTGTTAGTTCAGGGTATAAATGCCTGGATGAATGGTCGAGGTGTAATATGGACACTAAGGCTCTGAGTAGATATGTCCTTCCGGATTAATACACTCATTCCTTTTTCAAAGGATGCGATTATAATCATCCTGGCTTTATTCTTGAACGCTCGAGCTGTATCCCTGAATCTAAGAGTCTTATTCATGCCTTCCGTTTTTACCAATAAGAGAGAGGAGAGCCAGAGATTTCTTTCTCGCTCATTTAGAGCCGTGATTACCATATTAATTAACATGAATTTTGCAGCAGGGGCTCTTTTTTATTTCTGGTTCATCAATGAAAGCACGTATCCACATTGGGAAACCAATGGCATATACTTTCTTTTTCCCTTAAAATAAGTAAGAAGTAGTAGCACCTCAATTAACGATGTAGTCCAGGTTGAAACGGAAAGTTTAAATTTATCGACTCGAATGCAATCTATAAACGCTGATTTTGTGCTAAATCTTGGTTTTGGATTTGTTGATGATTTTCACGTTTTCAATTCATTCCTCCTCTTATTTTTCTTCTTCTTCCTGTTCTTCATCCTCTTATTTTTCTCCTTCTTCCTTATCTTATTATTCTCCTTTTTCTTCTTCTTCCACTTCATACTCTTCTTCTTTATCTTCTTCTTTTTCTTTTTTATTCTTCTTCTTCTTCTTCTTCTTCCTTTAACTAGGGTGTAAACCCTGGTCTCTTCAGCCATTACCGTATCAGACACGTGAAAAAGGAATGAAACTGATTAAACTAATAAAAGTTGTATTTATCCTAACGTCCAGTCGTCAAAAGGTTAAAGCCAAAACATACTTATATATCATTTTGGGCATGATATGAGATTTCTCACGTGTTCGATGTAAAATTTCAAGAGGGAAACATTTCGAGCGGCGGTTCCATTTATTATTGACACCGTCTAGTATGGTCCATTCTGCCTAAACTAGAGTCCCTTTATACCCAGAGTAACGACAACTCGATTATCAGCTGACTGGCAGCCGACCTTGGCTGGCCATGGAGGCCGAAACTAGTGCACTCAAACGAACGATATTGGGGGATAAGGATCAGGAATCCTGCGATGTCTGTCACACAGAAACAACAACATCAACAAATTGATCAATTAAAAAGAAAATGAGATTGGTTTGTGAATAATTTTTTAATCTATTTTCATTTTGGACCGATGGCAATAACAATTTACTTTTGATAAACCACAATTAGGTAATATTTTCATTATTCTTGTTCACATACGAGGTACCGCCATCTTGGTGCACTAGTTTCGGCCTCCATGAGCGAGAACCAATCAGAATTGGATTTTTTTTTTAGGCCACTTTCAGCCCAATCCTGGCCCAACCAAAAGTGAGTTGTCGTAACTCTGGGTATAAAGGGACTCTAGCCTAAACCTCAACGATCCCACAACAACGTGAGCGGGAGATGAGACTCAAATGCGGACTCGCCCTTGTGTGGGCCGGCCGTGAAGCGCGGGTTGCATCACCAGATTGCGGCAACAACGCCATCGTCGTGCAGCGACGTCTACCTCT